AGCAGCTGCGTGAACCTTCTCACGGCAGCCAAACACTGCAAATTAGACTTTCTGTAGTGCGCATGGTCTGAACGCAGGTTCTTTGTGTGACACTCAGTGCCAGTAACTCTAAGTACGCCACTGGAAATCCAATTGCTAAACTCTTATTGCTTTGTCAGATATGCCAGTTGCTCAACCGCCTTCGGCTTGCTTTCACTTCTTGGGCAGCCAACGATGGCTGTAATATAAACTTGCTATGAGGAAATCTCGCGTTTCGAAATGCTCATGAGGGCATCACAATTCAACCCGAGAATTTTTCATTAAATTTTGGTAGAGTGCCTCTCTTTAAGAGGAAGCGCAAACGCTCCCCACAAGACGTGGCAAGCACAGAGCAAAATCCTTAGATGAAAAATGTTTGATGCAAATCAATTATTTTCGGAACTGATATTCATCAGTCCGGGCAGTTGCGACAGGTAAACTAGCCTGGACTGCCGTAACGCAGAGACTGTACAAAACAAGCACAGTTTTAAGTGGCTTTTCTGTAGTGACGTGATTGATACCGATACATTTCATAAATAAGAATGTCGGTGCCATGACCACACTCAGGTATGTTGCCACATGTATTTTGCCTTCCGCCGTTTCGCAGTCAATTTCTCGTATATCTGAAATGGTGTTCGAGAAAACAGTTTTGATAAGCTCATATTGAAACTGCTGATGGGAGGACAAATGAAGTACAATTAGACCAATAGGATTTCTGCTCATTTCGTCGAAATGATGGGCAGATGAAGCTCGGAGAAAATCGGAATTGTGTTAGCTGTTTATCGGAATCTCCTTGCCTGCAGAACTGTCAATGTTCAGCTTTCTAAGGAGACGAGATAAGCTCATGCTCCGTTTTTTTGGGAATGCCAACATGAATTTGCCCCGCAAGCCGATCACACGAAAACGAACCGTTTTCTTCCAAACGAAACCATGCCAAAGTCTTAGGACGATTCCACTGAATACAGCGTTATTAAGTGGATAAGTTGTAAACCCAGGCTGCAACGCAGCAAGTTTGCCGTGCTATTATTCGTTTTTGCGCTTTGCAGCTTTCAGATTATTAATAGCATGAATGGTTCCTACACTGTATTTTAACACGTAAACTCATGCTGGCTGTGTTACGGCTTTTCTTGCATGCAGGAAGAAAAAGGCGTCGACTAGAATAGTAATGTTGCATCTTGAAGCCACATGAACCTCGGGTGTGCGTGATTACCAAATTTTGGATGAAGACTGGTCCAGAGAACGGTCTTTCATTGTAGAATGCAAATTTTACAATACACAGGGTGTCGGATGCTAATGCGGTTTGCTGATTTAAAACTTAACTCTATCTGAATCATACTTGAATATAAAATATCTCTGCAAAGCCAATTTGCTACAAGCATCTTTAAAATGCCTCAAGTCGTGGCGCAACTGCTAATCGGAATGAATTTTGGTATGTGAACCCCCAGAAGGGCGATAAATACTTTGACAAAACTTCAGCTATTGTTTTTTGGCTAGCTTTTGAGTTGGCACGATGCCAGCTGTGAAATTTAAATTGACTGTGCTCGTGATGTAAGCTGCGCAATAACTCAATTTGAAAACTCCTATTCACAACGGACAGGAAACACCAGTGTGAAATTTCAGCTTTCTAGCTCGTCATGTTCTCGAAATCGCTTTCCCGCTAGGAAATTTATTTTTCTCTGTCGTTTGTATGTGAGATCAGACGTATGTGAGCGACCACTTCAAGTTGTAAGGCTGACGTATGTGGTGTGAACACCCTAGCAGAATTTCAGTACCCTATTTCTTCCGGCTCTGCAGTTGAAAGGGGTGGCAAAATTCACTTGCCTACGCATGCCCACACAAACGTGCCGAAAACGTCTCGACAATACGCGTTTTTGCATTTGTATGATATACAATAATGCATAAAAAATGAAATCAGCCTGACCGAATTTTCTACTCTCATTGCTTTCATTTTCCGTGCGGAATGCAAATGGACGCCTTTGTTTTGAAAGTGGCAGTACGCGGCAGTTCATCTGCAAAAGTAAAAAATCAAAGCATGGAAGTGATACAGAGATGCTTCTACCCTCTAAAATTTCATCTCCTAGCTTTTCTGGTTCTTGAATTAGCAATTTCCACACCAAAACTTTCACGTGTTCGCAAATGCGACCTATGAAATTAAACTGAGTGTAGAACATTCTTCCAAATTTCAACTTCCTAGCTTTTCCAGGTAGCTTGTTAGCAATTTTAGCATCAAAAATTTTACGTGCTCGTACGTAAGAGTTGCAGATGGACATGAAATATCCTCTTAAAATTTCAACTCCGAGCTTTTGTGACTCCTGAGTTGAAAATCTTGGATAAAAATTCACACTCGGAACGTACACATGCAGCATCGTGAAAGTGTACACTTTGTGCAATTGTTGTAGCGTAAACCCGCATAAAAATCACCACCGGCCTTCTGGGCAGAGAAAGTTCTCAGTAAAATGTCTTAAATGCGGGATAGACGATTAACTCTGCCAGGGCAAGAGCATCTACTCTCTTTTCCTCTAATGAAAGTTATTATTTTTAAAAAAGTTTCTTACCGGCAAACTGTCCATTGTGAACAGTGCCAAGATAACGTTGGTAG